GTGGCGTGCTTTCTCCTTTCTCTGTCTCTCTCTGGTCAAACTTAAATGATAATAATTCTTTTTTTTTTTTTTTAAAGGAATGACAGACCAGATTTTGCTTTAAAGGAGTAAAGAGAACTGGGGTCAGATGGTGCGACAGTGGTGAAAAAGGGCTCTGCAAGGTAGACACATGGGAAGGATCCTCGCTTGAGCCCGGAGACCTCCCTGAGCACAACACAGCACACACGTTTGCACAGGTCTGCCTGCAATCTGAAACCAGCTGAAGGCTGGGGCAGTCATAGGGTTGAAACCCTGCTGGTGGTGCGCTCTCGTAAGAAATAAATGTGTTGGGCCAGAGGTGGTATAGTGGTTAAGGCGGCTGGATCCCATATGGCCAATTATGTAGTTCAGGTCCCAGATCTAGCAGTTTGAAGAACACCCCAGAGGGTGTAATGGTTACATAGTCAACAGCAGTTTGAGCCCCAGACCCAGTGACTTAACACTCACGCCAGGTGCGTTTGTGTGTGTGACCAAAATCCAGAGAGGAGAATGGAGGAGAAGGGATTGTAGTGTGGCCATCTCCCCTGCGGGGTGATTTCTTGCTTGCTTTCTGTATCTGTCTGGTGAGCACATACACCCTGTGGCAAAAATCTGTTTAAAAACAAAAAAACACGCCAGGCATTAGGTGCATGAGTCCCTAAAATTCCAAGAGGAGAATGGAAGAGGGGACTGTGGTGTGGCAGTCCCCCTGAAAGGATGATTTCTCACCTTCTCTCAGTGGAAGCATGTGATCTATGGCAAACTCGTAAAAAAAATAAAGTTTGGGTAGAAGAGCAAAAGAAATTGGGCTCTCAATTTTGGTGGCAGGATCAGGTGTAAATCAAACAGTGCAGCACATGAAATCATCTCTGACCCGCCCTGACTGTTCAGTGTCCTCTGAACAACGTCACACCACTCACCTCTCTCGCTGCCAAGACGATCGTCGTGAGCTGAGAGCGGTCTCCCCATTCTGCTAAGAACGTTAACGTAAGAGCCTGGACGAAGATGGGTGAGATGAAATGCAGCCACTTCTTCTGCGGTATCGCTGTGCTTGTCCCCGCTTCCACATCTCCTGGGCCATTTAAGAGTTTGGTTCGCTGAAACTAAAAGAGTAACAATCCTGAGGAAACAAGTCAAAATAGCACCAAATCCACCTTTCTTTTAAAAATTCTATGGGTAAGTTCCAAAGAGACTAAATTTTGTGACCCAAAACTGCCCTTTAGATAAAGCACTAGTTTCACACAGCAACAAATGCTGTACTCTCAATTCTTCTGTCCTCCCCACTAAACACGATTTACCACGAACACTATCCACAGCGACAGAACACGCACAACCATAAACGAGAAGTTCTGCTTTCCAGCCGACAGCAGCTGGATTAAGCCCCGACTACGTGCGCAGTACTCCGCGCTCGGCTCCCTCCTCCACACCAGCCCGAGACACATCCCCCGTGGCTGGAGCAGTGGAAACGAAGCCGAAGACACGACGTTTATGTACCCGCATGGCACACAGACGCGGTCCCTCGAAGACGTCCGGATGGGCAGTTTATCCCCAGCGGAGTGCCTCGCTGGTTCAGATACGGAAGAGTGCTATGGCTCACCTCTTCATCTTTCTTCTTTAATTCTGCTTGAACTTCTTCCAGTTCCTCTTGACCTTCATCTGGGCTCATCTTTAAGCCCTCCCGGAGCATCCTAACGCCAAAAATGGCGAATAGTGCCGTTGAAACGTAGTACGTATATACCCTGGGGATGACTGTGGTGGCGTAGCCGAACAAAACTGCAAGGGAAGGCAACAGGTCGGTTAGCACGTGTCCCTGACCCAGGGAACGTGAGCTTCAGAATCCGAGTCTCCCACCACGTTCAAGGAAAAATGGCTCCCATCCAGTGCTAATATGTAATAGCCTGGAGTCATTCCACGTCCTTCCCTCGACCAGTAGTGACTCCGTAGGTCTGGCCAAGGACCTCACACAGCTTACCAAGAAATCAGTGCTCCAGCTGAAGACGGCTCGTCTTCCCAGGGCCCTTCCTAAGACACTGCACTCACCCAGGCTGTTCTGCCAGCGGCCGGCTTGCCACTTCCCGGTGCAGGGCACATACGTGAGGTAGAGCCTCTGTGACTGCGTAGGATCATGGGAGTTTATAATCTGGGAGCTAACCACACTTCATACGCCGGTGGTATTTCTTCAGCACAGATCTTTAAATCACAAACTGCGGGACCAGCAGTTGGCATAATGGCTATGTCGCTGGACTCCCACGGAGTCGACAGTGGTCTGAGTCCCAGACCCGGTGGCTTAAACTCACACTGGGTGAATGTGCATGCATGCCCAAGATCCGGAGAGGAAAATGGAGGAGAAGAGATGCGACATGGCCATCTACTGAGGGGTGAGTTCTCACTTTCTGTCTCTCTGTCTTTCTGGCAAGCGCAGGCATCCTATAGAAAAACTCGATACCCCGCCCCGCCCCCCCCCAAAAAAATCACAAACTACTATAGACAAGAACCATGACACGATTCTCATACAACATGACTCACAGTCCGCTCCTTTGTAACTCTTTGAAATAAATATCTTAAAAAAATAAATAAAAAATAAGTATCTTACAGAAAACCCAAAAAATCCCATATATATAATGTTTACGACATTCAGACTTACTCAAAATAATTCCTACTGGTAAGAAATAATCATTTTTATACAAAAACTATATCAAAAACGCACATCCTAACTGCAAAACACTGAAATCAGTACTATCAGTTCAGTAATTAAAATATAAAATTGGGACATTCAGCAGTTAGCGTAATGGCTATGTCACTGGACTCCCATGTAATTGACTACGGTTCGTGTCCCGGACCCGGTGGCTTAAAACTCACACCAGGTGCATGTGTGTGCGTGCCCCAAGATCCTGAGAGGAGAATGGAGGAGAAGGGATTGCAGCATGGCCATCCCCCCGGGGGGTGATTTCTCACTTTCTCTCTCTCTGTCTGGCGAGCACATGCGCCCTATCGCAAAATCCTCTCAAAAAAAAAAAAAAGTTTAAACATCTGGGTGCTGGGCGTGGTAAAATGGGGCCTTCTGCAAGGCTGATGCCCATGAAAGGGGGTTCCCTGTTTGTTTCTGGAGACCTTCCTGAGTGTGCTGGGCATGTACCTGCCAGTGATTGGCACTGGTTAAGCTGGGGTGGACTGTGGCATTGAGACCCTGCTTGTGCATTTCTGTATCTCGTGTCTTTCTCTCTGTCATGGAAGAAATAGATATACTTTAAAAGTTTTAAAATTAAAAAATGAAATGCAGCAAATCTTCTAGAAGCTCCTAAACGTTGTTTTCTCTTTGAGTTTTTATTAATCTACCTGCCAGTGATTGGCACTGGTTAAGCTGGGGTGGACTGTGGCATTGAGACCCTGCTTGTGCATTTCTGTATCTCGTGTCTTTCTCTCTGTCATGGAAGAAATAGATATACTTTAAAAGTTTTAAAATTAAAAAATGAAATGCAGCAAATCTTCTAGAAGCTCCTAAACGTTGTTTTCTCTTTGAGTTTTTATTAATCTAAAACAAAAGAAGCTCCTAAACGTTGTTTTCTCTTTGAGTTCTGATAATCAAAAACAAAAACAGTGCTATTTACTGACACCCGCGATCACATCTTTTCTGCCTTGACATCCCTATGGGGAGCAGAAAGTGGCCTGGCATTACGACTTGCGTTTCTTCCTCTGGTTACTCTCCCTCCACTTCCTTCTTTGGACTCCCTGCCTGACATTTGTGTGAGCACTTTATTGGCAAAGATACACGGAAATTAATCTTCTCAACCACTTCAATCTTCTCGGCCATTTCACAGTATGTCCAGTTAAACCAGGTACTTGTAATTCTAAGTAAAAGACTAACATAGGTAAGAACAGTCGCCTGGGAACCAGCAGATGGCGTAATGGTTACATCTCTGGACTCCCAGGAAGTAGACCCCGGTTGGAGTCCCAGACCTGCCGGTTTAAAACTATGTGGGGCATGTTTCCTGCGTGTCCAAAATCCAAAGAGGAGACTGGAGAAGGGACTGTGGCATGGCCACACCGCCCTGGGGGGGATTTCTCGCTTTCTGTCTCTCTAAAAAAAAAAAGTCACCTGCAGCCAGCAGGTGGCGTGGTGGTAAAGGTGCTGGACTCCCGCGTGGTCGGGCACATTTTGCATCTTGGACCTGGCAGCTGCTTCATCACTTTCCTTCCCTCCCTCCCTTTCTCTCTCTCTCTCTCTGGTGAGCACATGTGCTCTATATCAAATTTTAAAATAATAAAGAAAAAGCAGTTTTTTTAAGAAAGAATAGTCACCTGATAAATTTAAGATAAACGTTTCCAATTCTGCTGTTGGCAAAATCAACAGAACTTTTGTAGTTATCTTTAAGAATACACTTTCTTATGAGAGACCAGTATGTGTTTTTTAGCTCATAACTCAGGAATTCTGAACTGAATGACATGGCTGTAACCAAAAGTCCTTCCCATCTACTTATTTATGGGAATAAATTTTTTCATCCCTTTATCTTTTTTAAAAAAACATCAGTGTTGATGGTAAATCATTATTCCAGTAATAAGTAATATTCATTCATAAAAGAATAGCCCCATCATCTCATTAAAGAAAGCATTTTTGATTTTTAAAAAAAGTTCTTAAATTTGTGGTATGTCTTGATCGACTGTGTACTAATAACAACTATGTTCATAAAGGCAGAAACTTAAGGGGAACCCTTAAGAAACTTGAAGGGGGAACCAGCAGTTAGCGTAATGGCTATGTCGCTGGACTCCCATGTAGTCGACCGCGGTTCACATCCCAGACCCCGTGGCTTAAAACTCACGCCAGGCGCGTGTGTGTGCATGCCCAAGATCCCGAGAGGAGAATGGAGGAGAAGGGATTGCGGCGTGGTCATCCCCTCTGGGGATGATTTCTCGCTTTCTGCCTCTATGTCTCTGTCTGTCTGTCTGGCGAGCGCACGCGCCCTATAGCAGGAAAAACAAACAAACAAAAAAAAAAAAAAAAAAAAACCCTCTCCAAAAAAAGAAAAAAGAAAAAACTTGAAGGAAACCCTTTTGACATCTTTTAAAATTCAATTTTATGCCTATTTTTCTAGCAGATAAATATGATGGGGTAAGGCATGAAAGATTTTCAAGCAAAAACTTATAAACGTTAGGGTAATGTTCTGTAAGGAAAGTAAATGAAAATAAGAATGAAGGGAGGGGCTGGCAGGGGGCAGAGTTAAGACGCTGGATTCCCACATGTGGAACCAGAGCTTTGAGTCCTGAACCTGGTAGCCTGCTTTCTCACCTTCCCTCTCTCTGAGCAAATTAAAAAATAATAATCATGAATAAAATAATTCTGTTAAGAAAAACAAACAATTATGAGGAAAAATGTAAATTTCCAACTGTTAAAAAAAAAATGTGTGTGCAAGGCCAGCAGGTGGCATAATGGTTAGGGCGCTAGACTTCTACACAGCCAACCAAGGTTCAAGTCCTGGACCTGGCAGCTTGCTTTCTCATTTTCCCTTTCTCTGTATATCTCAGGTCAAATTTAAAAATGATAATAGAGACCAGCAGATGGCATAATGGTTACATTAGTGGGTTCCCACATAGTTGACTGCAGTTCAAGTCCTAGACCTGGCAGCTTAAAACTCCTATTGGGCGTGTGTGCATGCATGCCTAAAATCCTGAGAGGAGAATGGAGGAGAAGGGACTGCAGCATGGTCATCCCCTCGAGGGGGTAACTTCTTACTTTCTGTCTTTCTGTCCAGCACATGCGTCCAATAGCAAAAATATCTCTAAAAACAATAATAAGTAAAATGAAATAATATCTTTTTTAAATGTCTGTGTTTTTAAAGGAATGATGGTGGTGATGGGTATCAAATGATCAATGGTATTTAATATGCCCCGGCCCACGTATTTTAAAGCACCATTTGAGTTTTATTGTACACAATATACCAGAAATTGTTCAATAGCTCCTTGTAACTATTTCAATTTTACGTAACGTCCATGTGTGAGGGGTGCATTATTTTCCAAAATTATTTGAAAGACTACGGAAGATCCCTGAGGCCCACTGACGCAGATCAGCTCCAAGGTCCAGGTAAGAAGAGCCTGGGCACCAGCAGCTGGAGGGAGAGGGGGCCTGGCCGAGACACAGGCGATGCCAGCCACGCTACAGCTCCGGACAAGGGGCCAGATGCGCGGGTGTGTTGGACGGACAGAGCCAGGTGCCAGAGGAGGAAGCAGACACTGAGACCACAGCCTTCTGGTCCTCCTCGAAGCTGGCAGCTTTGGTAATAGAACTGATGAGTTCAGACTCATTCCAAATAAGTGACCTCACCCTGGGTCACGCGCCCTACTTTCCAGTTTCCCGTATGCAACATTTCCTCCTGAAAAGCATCTCTCTATTGTGACCTCTGAATGCCCATCTGAGTTTCCAAAATGTGAAAAGTCACTTATAGGTTTAAAAAGACCAACATTAACGCACACCCGAGCAGCCGGAAGCTCGTGCTCTAACCCAGGAGTTTCAGGTGCCACTCTACTACGGGCCATTGGAGGCGCACACCTGCACACCCAGAGAACTCTCACTCACATGGACCACAACCCTACGCAGCAGACAACCTCCGTTTACAGGGGTTGTAAATCAGAAGCTCGAGCAGGCAGGGGTGGACTCGAACCCAAGTCTGACTAGAAAGAGAAGTTTGCGGTTTCCCACCAGGCCCTGGGGCTGGCAGTGACTTCTGCAGCAGAGACTAGACAATGTGCAATGTTAAGTTACTTTCTTATGGTGTAATTCTTTGAAAACTGAAGTCTATAAAGCAATCAGTCACATAGTGAAATAAACGGGCACTCAGAACGTTTCATTCCTTACCATGGTGGGCAAGAACTGCTTCATAAAACACAATGTGTCAGAAGTTTGTCTCAATTACTGAATAACTCCCAAGTGTTTTTCAACAGGAAAACGTACAATTCTCTGTGATTAGGTCCTATATCTAAAATATCAAATATAAATATGGGTATCGGACAGGAAAGAAAAAGAATAACAGCGAGGCTAAAGGCCGTGACTAAATGAGGAGCCGGGAACGGGCTGTGCACGAGCGGACACTCTCATTTAAGCAGGGACATACGGCCTTAGGAATGTAGGCACTGAAATCATTTGCCGTTCAGGAAACCTGGAACAGAAACCAAATTCCACTCTAGCCGGTTAAAGGGGTCAGCGACTCGGTGTCAGACACCTTGCCTTCCCCTTAGCTCAGCCGACGCGGCGGGGAGAAGCACACCCACCTGACAAGCACGTCATCAGGGACATACGGCCTTAGGAATGTAGGCACTGAAATCATTTGCCGTTCAGGAAACCTGGAACAGAAACCAAATTCCACTCTAGCCGGTTAAAGGGGTCAGCGACTCGGTGTCAGACACCTTGCCTTCCCCCTAGCTCAGCCGACACGGTGGGGAGCACACCCACCTGACAAGCATGTCATCAGGCCCAGGGCCAGCATGGCGCCAGCCAACACCGTCAGCCGGTTGTAGCGCATGGCCATGATGGCTGCTATGAAGAAGGTCTTGTCGCCCAGCTCAGAGACGATGATGACCGATATGGCGGCGATGAACGCGTGGACAAACCCCAAGTTTGTCTGTGTAGCCGCATCCTCCTTATCGGCAACAGCCGGGGCTGCTGGTGTAAATCCTTTCTGAAATTAAAAAATAAAAAACTAGAGGTTATCTTTTGACAAAAATCGTGATTTCCAATTTCCAATTTTTGCATGTGAATAGGAGTCAGGTATTTTCCTGGCACGGTCATTAGACGTATTTACTGTCCAATCATTTTGAAAACCAACAATAGTGACAGGAAGTTCTGCCGATGGTCGCTAAGACATGGACCATCTCCAGAACAATTTTAGGAAGAGAGTACAGATCAGCTATATCCACACGTTAAAATTACCTTTATTTTCTAAATATTTGAGATTTAGTTTTGATCTATGTCTTAAATTTTTATTAGTCACTTGAATATAAGACCTAGGTATGTTTTTCAATCATTCAAATGACATGAAGCTGACAAACTGCATTAATCCTTTAAAGGACAAAGTAGAATCCAGAAAGCTCTCAAGCGGCCACAGCGAGAGTTGGCGCCAGCTAAGAGGAGTAACAGGCCGCACTCAGGGACGGGCCTACGCCGTCTACACACTTCCTACAAGATAACGTGGCCTAATAAAAAAGGCAAGCCAGAGTCCCAGTCAGCCTAAACTGAAAATGTGACAGAGCTCCACGAAAGCAAGCAGCAACGAGAACTTCCACACTGTTTCATGCTGCTCGGTCCTTCCCACGCCCCGGGGGCAGTTCTGAATCAGCGCTGCCTCTGAAGGTCACCCACATGGAAGGGACGCTAAGACCAGAGATTGGCAAGCTACTGCTCAGGCCAAACCCAGCCTGCACAGGCAAGAATGGTCTTCCTTCCTTCCTTCCTTCTTTCCTTCCTTCCTTCCTTCCTTCTTTCTTTCTTAGTTTTTCAACTACAGGATGTGGGCACTTGCCTGGGAGAGGGAAGGTGAGAGAGTGAGAAATAATCACCCCTCAAGGGGATGGCCATGCTGCAATCCCTCCTCCTCCCTGTCCACTCTCCTCTCAGATCTTGGGCGCACACGCACATGCACCTGTCGTGATTTTCGAGCTACTGGGTCGGGACTCATACTGCACTGTCAGCCACGTGGGATCCAGCCACCTTAACCTCCACACCACCTGCTGGCCCTGGTTTTTTACATTTTTTAAAGTTTGTAAAAAATAAAGTGAAAGAAGGGTTTAGGGACAGAGATGGAAGAAAGGAAAGGAAGGAGGGAAGAAGGAAAGAAAGGAGGAAAGAGGTTAATACAATGGAGACCTCATGCAGTCTGTAAATATGTAACCTGCAAGATCCTAAAGTGTTTGTTATCTGGCCCATTACCAAAGAAGTCTGCCACCCTAAACAACACACAAGGGACCAGGAAGAGCCGGAAATCTGTTCCCAAACCTGGGGAAATCTGCACCTGGGTCTGTCACATGGACTGTAGCTGGTCCCATGAGGCACAACTCAAAAGGTACAGGTACAAATTTGGGCTCAATTCAGAGACAGATCTCCAGGGCCACCTGCAGCTGGAATGGGCTGGGCTGCGAGAGAAGGTGGTAAACTCTCTCCCAAGGCCGACTTCCAAGACGGGAACCAGCACTCACAGGAAGTGGTGACACACGTGTTCTCCGTCAGGGCAGTCTTGTCTCCTAGGATACCTAGCAATGCTAAGAGACATTTCTGGTTGTCACAACTGAAGGGGAACCACTGCCCTCTACTGGGTGGAGGCCAGAGGGGCTGCTAAACATCCCACAAAGCACAGGAAACCCCGCACCCCGGAAGGGCAACAGTTCCCAGGCTGAGAAACCTGGGCTAGATAAGTCACTCCTAAAGCCTCTTCCCGTGCCAATACCCTCACTTTAATTAACTTGCAAAACCTATGTCGTTTTTGGACAGGATAAAAATAGGAGTACATTTCTTACAACGGCCCTACCTAGTCGGAGAGAAGAATGTCACTAGCCTCTACGAGCAAATTCCTGAACACGTGACACAGATTTGGCTCCAAAATGCCACAGTGGAGACCGGGAAAATGCAAGCACCACTCGGAGCCCCGAGGGGATTTTGTGAGACAGACCCTCCCCGTGCCCCAGCCCCGATCTGTGGGATTACAGGCATGTGCCACCATGCCCCTCCCGTAGGCTGGGCTGGGAGTCTCACCCGGGCCTCCGACATGGTCCCAGAGCGTGTCTCAGCAACAGCATGGCGGGGCCCAAACTGGAGGAATCGAACGACTTAGGTATTTAGGTTGAGCCGTCTCAGTCTGCTCTTGACAGAGCACGCTACTGTTTTGAGAGCTTCCAGTTTCCTCTCCGTGACAATTTCAGTTCCATCTAGGCTGAGGCTCACCTGAAAATGACGCTTCTGGGCCAGCTCCATAGCCTAATGGCTAAGGAAGCCAGATCCCACATGACCACCTTTGTGGTTCGAATCCCAGCCCCAGAAGCGTGAAAAACACACTGGCCACATGTGCATTTGTGCCCCAAATCCCAACAGGATAAAGAAATGAAGGGGAAGGGAGAGCCATGTGGTCACGCTGCGCCCTCACTGGGGCTGCTTCTCCCTCTATCGGCCTCTGGTTAGCTGCACAGGCCCACTGGTAAAATTAAAAATACAGACAGACAGACGTGTTCCTTCTTTCCATATAAGAACACTAAGCACCTTGAACAATAAAGGCATTTCAATTCAGCTCGCACTAACACGACATCTCCCCTCTGGTGACACGTATACCTAGTGTATGCCAGACAGTGCGTACACTCACCAGAGACACCAAGGGAGTGGCAAAGCACGCCCCAGCGGGCATGGTCACACTGCAGCCCTTTCTCCGTCCCTCCCTCCTTATGGGACTCTGGGCAAACCACAGCCACCTTCCTCCTCAAGGTCCCCCAATCTACCCAAGTTAGTCAAGATCCACCTCCAATAGAACCTCCTGAGCAGGGCCAGGCCCGGGAACCCTGGCCCTTCATCGTTCTGTCCCCAAATAGAACTGAAAGCAGGCCATGGACAGTACGGCCCAGCAGGTTCAGGGGCGGACACAGCTCAGTCAGGGACGGCCCAGGGGCTTATCGTTCTGTATCAGAAACACGTGAAGATGTGATGCTGTCGTGTCTCAACGGCAAGGCCAGCCGCGGAGGCACGGCAGTGACTACACTCCTGGTGCTGAGCCACAGGAAGGCCGTGTGCATATGCCTGTGGTCCTGGCTGAGGCCAGGGCACACTGCGGTCGGGGTGAAGACCTTTTAGAGGGTGCCTGTCTTTCTGTTTCTCTAGGAAAAAATAAACTTAGAAAGTAAGAAGAGACAAAATAACTAAATGTCCAATGATAGGAAATCAGTTAAATGATAGATCCATATAATGGAGTGTTATGGAACTAAAGGAGGAAGAACGTCCTATATATAGGAGGGGTCTTCAGAAAAGTTTGTGTAGGACCAGCAGATGCATAATGGTTACGCCCCTGGACTCCCACATAGTCGACCATGGTTGGGGTCCCAGACACAGTGGCTTAAAACTCATGCCAAGCACATGTGCATGTGTGCCCAAGATATGAGGAGAATGAAGAAGGGATTACAACATGGCCATCCCCCCGGGTGGGTGATTTCTTGCTTTTGTCTCTGTCTCTGGCAAGCCCAAGTACTCTATAGCAAAAATCTCTCAAAAAAATGTAATTAAATTTTTATTTTTTTAAAAAAAAGAGGAGTCTCTTTGCTGAGATTTTATTTTTCCATTTTTTAGGAGTGCTCACAATTAATATTTTTTTTAATTTAATTTTATTCATTTATTTTAATTTGACCAGAAAGAGACACAGAGAGAAAGAGAGGAAAGTGAGGAAGCAAGGTTCCTGGTCCGGGACTCGAACCGTGGTCACCCATGTGGGAGTGTCCAGCGCCTTAACCACCACACCACCTGCTGGTCCCAAAAATAAAAATTTTTTAAGTGTGTGAAAAATGTATGGTATTCAATATAACAAAATCATCCATGGATTTCAAGTGTTTTGCATCAAAATAAACTGGTACTTTAATTCCATGTTCCCATAAACTTTCTGAATATAAAGAAATCATTAAGATATTTCTTGTGCGTGCATGTCCAAGATCCCAAGAGGGGAATGGAGAAGGGACTGTGCCGTGGCCATCCCCCCAGGGGGTGATTTCTTACTTTCTTTCTCTGTCTTTCTGGCAAGCACATGTGCCCTATAGCACAAACCCCTCCAAAAAAAAAAAAAATTTTTTAAAAAAAGAAAGAAAAGAAAAGAAAGAAGGCAGTCTGTGGAAAACTATAGTCTGCTGACCTCTGGACTGGAAAACCGCTGAATGAAAAGGAAAAGTGATTTTTCGCTCCGTGCTCTTCTGGACTGTCTGGATTTTTTCCACGTTCACAACTATAGACACCTGCTGTGTCGCACTTCATAACCCTCTTGCCCTAGTGGCTTGCTCCAACTATGGGGACCCTTTTCTTACAGCAGTGACTGGCTTCAGGGAGTCCGACCAGCAAGCCTGGCTCTGCACTGACCCACTCCACTGCGGGAGTCTGGGGCAGTTGACGTGTATAGGGCAGCCATTCGCCAAGGAGCAAGGGCAGTGCTGAGACCCATCTCCCAAGACTCCCGGAACGTCTCAGTGGGATGCAGTACTGGTCGCTCACAGGGCGGCCACCTCGTGGAGTGGATGTTAAGGCTGAACCCCACATGGCCGGCTGTGCAGTTCAAGTCCCAGACTGGGGGCTTGAAAAATCACGTAGCTACTCCCTAGATGCGGGTATTTCCACACCTGGTACTTCATCTGACAGTCGAAACTGTAAGAGGTGCAATCTCAACACTAGAAGAAACTGAAGCCAGATAGGCTTCAACAATTCTGCCAAGTTTATATAGCCAAGAGGGCACAGGACTCTCAGAAACCGGGACAAATGAGAACCAAAACAACCCCTGAGTGAGCGACTTGCTAGGTCACAGGTACCCTTCCAAACTGGAATCCCAGATGAAAGGCAGGGACTGAAAGCAGAAAACAAGACTACAGCAAAGTAAAGCAGCAGCTGGTCTCCAGGTAAGAAATTTCGTTTAAAAACTGAAGACTAGGGGGCCAGCAGGTGATGTGGTGATTAACTGCTGGATTGCCACATGGCTGACTGTGGTTCAAGTCCTGGACCTGGCGGCTCACTTTCTCTTTCTCTGCGGCTCACTTTCTCTCTCTCTCTCTCTCTCTCTCCTCTCTCTCATGAGCAAACATACCCTATAGCAAAATTTTAAAAACAATAATAGTTAAATATATATTTATAAAAAAAAAAACAAAACTGAAGACTAGAAACTAATAGAGTCAACTAAGGTTAAGTAAGTGACTGTTTTTTCCTTTCCCAAATGGGAGAAACCCGGGAGCCCGTGTGGAAAGGAGAGAAAGCAGTCCTAAAGAGGAACATCCTGGAGGTAGAGGGCAGGGACAGTGACACGGAGAGCAGGCGTGGGAAGGATGGCAGCTTTGTTAAAAACAGACCAGGCACACAGTCTGGGCAAGGCAGCAGATGCTGAGAGGCAGGGTCGGACAGAGAGAGAGAGAACCCCGTTCTCGTATTTCATTCTTCGGTCATGGCGTTTTGACCGCAGTCAGTGATAAAATATTAGCGTCTTTCTAGGTCCACATAGCACTACTTCGGTATTTGAATGTCTGAAACAAACCATGTACACCTTTAGAACAGCACCTACAACTTGTAATTTAAAAATAAAAGTGCTGAATCAAAGCTCTACTGAAAGTTAACATTTTAACTCCAAATTGAAAAAGTATTTTTAAAATGTACCCTCATTTGAAGGTATTCTTTTATACTTTCGTGATCCTTGAGTGCAGGAAGAAAATGACAATGGACAAAGCAAAGCAAATTCCTGTTCTAGTTCTAGAGCTCAAATGAACACAAATATAACTCTACTGAAAATTGATACAGATACCTGCATCGGAATCTCCATCAATACATGAAGCTAAAGATGAAAACGCTGTCTTTGAAACAAAAGCTACAGCTTGCTACCAAGAAAAAGACTGATGTCCCTGCAAAAAAGAAAAAAGTTGTTTAACGAATGTTACCAAACAAGAGGTGAGATCATTTGAAGGTAAAGGAGTCAGGGGAAAATGCTTAGCATCAGTGTAGAACTATTTCCTCAACATTACTGATAAACACACAGAAAAGGAGGACCAGCAGATGGCATAATGACTATGTCACTGGACTCCCACGTGGTCGACCACAGTTCAAGTCCCAGGTCCAGCGGCTTAAAACACACTAGGCACATGTGCGTGTCACATGCATAGCCAAAATCCCGAGAAGGGAATAGACAAGAAGGGATTGTGGCATGGCCATTCCTCCTGGGGGGTGATTTCTCACTTTCTGTCTCTCTGGTAAAGGCACATGTCCTACAGTAATTTCTGAGGAAAAAAAAGTCAGATAAGGCTTTTACAGAAAACTGTAAAAATTTACATAAAAACAAAAAATGTACATCCACCTTAATGATGCTGTGGATCAACTTGGTTCAAAAGACTGTGTGAAAGTAAAGGTGTGAAATGCACCGTGTAACTTCACTGTTAAATCTATTTGTAGATGGGTTAGTTTGTCTTTAAAATATCTCTTACTGGGGCCAACAGGTGGCATAGCAGTTGTGGTGCAAGACTCCCACATGGCCAACCACGGTTCAAGTCACAGATCTGGTGGCTTGCTTTCTCACTTTCCCCCTCTCTCTCTCTCTTCATGGTGAATTAAAAACAGTAACAATAATGATAAATCAAATTAAAGAAATCTTTTTTAAAATATCTTTTTGGATCTATTAAACTGACAAATAATATCTATACATGTTTATAGGGTAAATGTGCTATTCTGATACATGTACACAGTGTGTAATGATCAAATCAGGTAATCTGTCATTTCTATCACCGCCAACATCTGTCATCTTTTTGTGCTGCAACACTCAAAATCCTCTCTCCTAGCTATTTTGAAACATACAATAAATCTTTGTTACATCAGTCTTCCCCTTTTGTTGCAGGCCCCTCCTAGCTGTGATTTTGTAACCATCAACCAAACTCCCATTTCCCTCGTGTCTGTACCTTCCCAGCTTCTGATAGTAAGTAACCACTGCTCTGCTCTGGAGGTCTCTAAGACGGTCTGGTTGAGATTCCACACCCCAGAGAACAGGCAGTTTTCCCCTCTATGCACACCTTACAGAGCCAGAGAAAACCCTCTCAAGGCCTGGTCACACCACAGTCCTTCCCCACTGCTCCTTCCTGTCCCTGTCAGGATTCTGGGCAGACAGGCCCATGTGCTTGGTGTGGTTGTCAAGTCTCTGGGCGGGGACTCAAACTAGTCAGTTATAAGACACACTGGCAGCCAAGGCACAGCACTTAACCCACTGCATTGGCCCTCACTGTGTTTTATGTTTTTTTTTTTTCTTTTTTTGCCAAAAGGTACATGTGTTCACTGGAGAGAGAGAAAGCAACTCCCATGGGCCATGGTCATGACCTAATCCCTTCTCCATTTCCATGCACACACACATGCCTGGTACGTTTCTCAAGCTGCTGTGTTCAGGACTCAAACTCCACAGCCAGTCACGTGGGATCCAGCTGCCTTAACCACAATGCTGTGGGCTGCCCCACGGCTGATTTTCTATTAATGACTTGTTCTGATGATAGATCACCACCGATACTTTCCATAACATAACAATGATTTCATTCTGTAAAGTAATTATGACTAAGAGTCCTCATACCTAAGGCCTAAATCTGGGCAGGAAAGAGGCTACAATTAGGGGGTTGAGGGGCCAGCAGATGGTGTGGTGGCTGAGGGTGCTGGACTCCCACATGGCCAGCCAGTTTGAGTCCTGGACCTAGCAGCTTGCTTTCTCACTTTCCCTTTCTTGCTCGCTCACTCGCTCGCTCTCTTTCTCTCTCTCTCTCACTCTCGCTCTGTCCTTCTCTGGTCAAATTAAAAATAATTAAGTAAATAAATAAATGAATATTAAGTAAGATAATTCTTTAAAAAAAAAAAGACTTAGGAGGCTGGACAGGATGTAATAAGACTACAACTTAATGGAAAATATTTAAAATTTTCTGTGGAAGGTGTTCTCATAGTTAAAAAGTTATAAAAAATGCAACAAACACGGACTAGCTGGTGGCAAGGTAGTTACGGCAGCTGTATCCCACATGACCAACTGTGCGGTTCAGGTCCTGGACCGAGCAGTCTGAAAAACATTCCATTTATCGTGTGCATCTCCAAAATCGCAAAAGAAATGAAGGGATCATCCTGTGACTATCCTCCAGTGAAGGCGCTTCCTCTCTGCCTCCAGCGAGAGCACACACCCTCTAGCAAATTCATAAAGGACACCTACAAGACACCTATCGAATGCAGTACGTGGGTTGAAATCCCGACTCAAACAAAACAACTATTTTTTTAAAGTGCAAAAGGCAGAAAAACGATGTAAGAACATGTACTGGGTCTGGCTATAGGATCTGTGGCTTTATCAACAGTACTATGCTGCCAGATGTTCTTCGGCCTTTTCTAGAACATGCAGTAGATTATAAACTACCTTTATGCAGGACCAGCAGTTAGCGCAAGGGCTATGTCACTGGACTCTCATGTAGTCGACCGCGGTTCGCGTCCTGGACCCAGTGGCTTAAACTCACGCCGGGCACGTGTGCGTGCGTGCCTAAGATCACAAGAGGAGAATGGAGGAGAAGGGATTGCGGCGTGGCCATCTCCCCTGGGGGGTAATTTCTCCCTTTCTGTCTGTCTCTGTTTTTCTGTGAGTGTACGCACCCTATAGCAAAAACATCTCAAAAACAAAACAAACAAACTACCTTTATGAAATGTGAACTCCCCAACTAAAAGAATTTACGCTTCTTGTATACACACCCTGCCCAGGAAAATGAGAAGTTAGAAATTGAGCAAGTCACAGGAACACAAGCTTCCTAAAAGATGCCTGCCAGTGATCAGAAGCACATTTTTTCCTGAATTATACTGTGGGGAAATTTTTTCATAGTGAACTTCCTCAACATCTTTTTTATTTTTGTTTTTGCTATAAGACCTGTGTGCTCATCAAAAAGACAGAGAGACAGAAAGCAAGAAACCACCCCCTGGGGGAGGGCCACACTGCAATCCCTTCTCCATTCTCCTCTTGGGCATACATGCACACGCACCCGGTATGATTTTAAGCCACCGGGTCCGGGACTCGAACTGTGGTTGGCTACATGGGAGTTCAGCAACATAGCCATTATGCTAACTGCTGGTCTCGAACATCTTTTTATCCTGATTATAGAAAAAAGTGGAGCACACTCACTATAGAAAGCCCTTAGAAGGGTTAGAAGTTCAGTTGTATCATTTTAAAGCACGCGTCAGACACTACACTTTTTAAAACATATTTATTTATCTATTATTATTATTATTTAATTTGCTATGGGACACATAAGCTCACCAAAGTGAGAAACAAAGCCGTCAGGTATGGGACTCGAACTGTAGTCAGCCACGTGGAAATCCAGCGTCTCAACCACCACGCCACCTGCTGACCCACAATTACACTTTTATAATGTATCTTCCCTTAAATGCCAACCAAGGAAGGGAAGAAGGGACTGTCCCCCTCCTGTTTCCCGAAGTCGACTCACACAGGCAGCACACACAGAAGGCTCCGTCTAGTATCCTATGCTGTCAGAGAGCCACTGTGTGCAGCTGCAGAGCGCACAGCTGACACTCGGTCTGCAACCATGCTGAGCCCTTCCCGTGCGGCCCGGACTGTCCTTGGATCGTTTCCTATCTCCGCCAAGTGAGAGAAACAGTAAAGGACACTTATATTACAAAATTTAGAAAACACGTGGGAGAAATTTCTTATACTGCAGTACTATAAATAGAGGGAAAAAATTAACTAGTCAGATCAGAAAGTTACTTGAAAATACAATCAAAACATGATTACATTCTGCTATAATATGGAACAAACCACAGCAGGTTCCTAACTAAAGAGAACCACAAGGACTATCTGAAGATATTAAGGGAAAAATCATAGGACATTATGCTGTTCCTTCCCTCCACACTCCCGAGCTTTTTCTTTTTCTTTTTTTTTTTTTTGGTGAGGGTTTTGTTATAGGGCGTGTGTGCTCACCAGAACGAGACAGAAAGTGAGAAATCACTCGCCAGAGGGAATGGCCATGCTGTAATCCCTTCCGGGATCTTGGGCACGCACACACATGTGCCCAAGGTGAGTTTAAGCCACCAGGTCTGGGACTCGAACTGTGGTGGACTACATGGAGTCCAGTGACATAGCCATTACACTAACTGCTGGTCCCCACACCCCAAGCTTTTAAGAGAAGGATCTGGAGACCAGTGGGTGGCGTGGTGGTTAAGGCGCTCTATACTTACACGGCCGACCACAGTTTGAGTCCCAGACCTAGAGGCTTGCTTTCTCACTTTCTGTCTTTCTGTGTTTCTCCCTTGGTCAGATCAAAAGGAATGAATGAATAAATAAAATTAAATAAATAATTCCTTAAAAAAAAGGAAAAAGACCGTATTCTTGAGCCCACTTCAGTTATGTCCAGTCCCAGACGTGACTTTCTTCACCACTGTGGCCCTCTGTTTTGCATGGCTAGATTTTCCTTAACTTCCAAAAAAGGGTATTCATAGCTATAACTATCTCTATTCTTATCTTAAAAATCATGAAATTAAAACAGATGAAATGTCTAGAAAGGTAGATATTTACAATCTCTCTCCACCCAGTCATGTAACTGAAAACAGGCGTTGTTGAAGATCACCTTGATCTGAAGTTACATGACACAGGCTACATGATGAGCACCGGGAGTCAGCATCTCAGTTCCGTTTCAGGAAGGGACATGCGAGAGGGGCTGGTGGGGCCGGGGAGAGGGGAGAGACTAGCAGCCGTGTGTGCCCATGACCTGGGGCTGTCTGCCCCTCCTTCCCTCTCTCTCACCGAACAAATACATTTCAAAACAAAGATCATTTTTTTCTGGTTGAGTTTACTTTACAGTCAGTTTTTCCACGAGGGCATTGAATAACTGATACACTTGGATGCA